ATGAATTTGACATCTTGTCAACCCTCTCAGTTACCAAGTGTGCCACAAATGTAAAAATGTTATTTAAAATAAAGGCAGCTGCAGCTACATACCATTTATTTATTTAGTTAGGGTTTTTAAATAATAATAATAATAATAATAATAACAACAACAACAACAAAAAACAACACCCTACACCTTTCATAGGTGTCAGTACAAAACATATTATATATCTCATCATTTCCCCCTAACAAAATATTCAACCATTTTCCCAGACCCTTTTTGTAAACTCATGCTGATCTGTTTTATAGAGTTGCTGGTTTTAGTTCTATTTTTTTAAGTATTCATTACTTAGTTGTGTTTTTAAGTTTATTGCAAGCAGTTCTGATAATGTTTTATTTGAATTATGAAGTAGGAATCTAAATACAAAATAAATAACTGTGCCAAGATTACATCAAATAGCTTTAAAGTGCTATTTAAAGTTCCTCCTTCTCCAAGGTATATTAACTCAGTTGTTGTGGTTTTTTTAAAAAAAAAGTTTAATTTAATCTAGAAATAACAGGGCAATATGACAATCTCTAAAGAGTGACAAAAGTTACAGCTGAGTTGAAACAACTCATCCATGTTTGTGTCCAGTCTTACCAAGTGCAACCATTGTAGCAGAGCTCATCATGTGTCCTACTTTACAAAGGGCAGGCCTCCATTTCAGAGGGCTGTGTCAGAGGACAATCCTCTCTTTGTAGGAGTCCTCTGGTTAGGGTTGTCCAGTCCAAGGCCAGTTTAAAGAATCAGAAGAAGGGAGACAAGGGCCTTGAATCTGCCTGTCAACAAACTGAAGAGAGAACATGGCACCTAGTCACAGTCTTCTCCACTCAGGGGAGAGGTAATCTACAGCCATCATTTCTAAATGTGCATCTTTATATATAAGTCACCTAATGCAGAACTAGTCCATTTTTATTGGTGGTGGATAAGTAGCCACCCCAATTGTGGACCCTATTTTGGACACATCTCAAAATGTCCATCTGTTTATGGTGGTGAAATCCAGTGACATTATATGTGATTACATGATCACACAGAGATCTCTGTATTCTCTGATTCATTGTCTTGGACCACTTGACTTTGTTCACTCCACAACAATGATAGGAACATAGGAAGCTGCTTTATACCGAGTCCGACTATTGGTCCATCTACCTTGGTATTGTCTACAGTAGCTGCTGGTGGCTCCTCCAAGGTTGCAGGGAAGGGACATTCCTAGCCCTGCCCAGAGATGCTGGGAGCTGACTGCCTGCAAATAAGTTGCTCTACCGCTGAGGTACAGCCCTTCCCCATGTAACTATGATAGTTGTCATCAGGTCACATCACAGCACATTCAGCATTGAGTATTGATGGCTGCATACCCTGCATACAGGAAATTGTTTAGAGAAGTCATTGTCAGTCATGGAGTTCAGAGGTGATGGCAGCAGCCGTTCTTTGACACCAGTTTGGCATTAGCTCCTCCGTGACCTCATCACCAACCATAGACAGATGCAGCCATGTTAGACGCGAAGGTGGATTTTAAGGGAATACTAGACATTTACCCTCTCCCCCCTTAAAAAAAACTAGAATCTTTGATTTGAAAGAGGAGACACAAAAAATACCTGTGCTGGTCCCGGGGGGAAGGTTACCGTTGACGTAGTCGAAGTCCGATCGTGGGTCACTAGCCTGGAAACAGTTCGCAAGGAGCGGGGCGAGGTCCAAAGCAGGAAGCCGAGCGGGGACAGGAACACTGGAGGGTCAGGTCTGGGTCCGGACAGGAGCAGGTACTCAACGACGACGTTGCTCCCGCAACCTGGAACTGGGCTGACTGGCCTTTATCTTCTCTGAGGCCAGGGGCGGTCCCAGCCCCCAGGAGACCTGCCTCTCCTGGCCTTAAGGCGAGCACTCCTCCTGGGCGAAACCAGTTCCCTTCGCCTCTCTGCCCTGAGCCTCTGCAGTTCAGGAGAGGCTGAAGGGTTACTGGGCCCAGGGGGAGACTCACCTGTAGGCACTGAGTCCTCAACCACCTCTGGAGCCAGAATGGATTCACCTGGTGCCTGCTCCTGAGGATCCGGCACAGGTGCAGGCGCCTCCGAATCAAGGCCCTGCCCCAGTTCAGCCGGCCCTGGAGGCGGGGACTCCTGTGCAGGCTGGGATTCCTCCGGTTCATCCTCTGAATCGGATTCCCAGGCCATCACAATACCATAGTACTAATAGAAATACATCATTTAGTAAGATTATTCTTCCTGGCATCTCTAGCTGAATAGTTCCTCTTCTGCATCTGGGGCTTTGAAAGGACAGTTAACTCACCACATGTTGCCTTTTGTATTTTCTTCTTCTTTGGAGTTCTTCAAAATGACTCCAGATCTCCTCCTGAATACATGAACCTGAAGTCCCGTTTGTTTGTTTCTCCCCACTGCTTTTCATTCCAAATGAGTTGGTTCAAAGGAAAAGATATCTTTGTTTATTCTCCAGGCCTTTTCCTTGCAAGGCAACATTTTTTTCTTCCACGGAATCACTTTAGGAGGAATACACACAAGGGATGATGTGTCAGGACTCAAAATCCACATGGATTTTTCGGGGGGGGGGAGCAGATGCAACTGAGGAACGTTCCACTTTGCAGGTGACAATGTATCTGAGATCTTATCCTGATGTCTGTTCCTGATATCATGCGCCTTTAGGTTTTAGAAATAGCAAGGCAGGAGTAATATGCTGCTGATCACACCCATTAAAACATTGAACATTATACATATAATGTGAGGAGCAATCTGTTTATACATGCCACAAAGGCAACACCCTCCCCACCGCTACCTGTAGCCTATTGGTTTCAATAGTCTTTCTCAGACACTTGTCAGGCTGCGTACCTGCCATATATTTAAAGTGCATTGAAAGCACATTTCCTCCCCAAATAATCCTGGGAACTGTAGTTTGCCTCTCACAGAACTTCAATTCCCAGAGTTTTCTGCATGCATATCCAGGCATACTCAGTTCCAGGATACATTCCATTCAGGCAAAACCACTCAAGGGTGCACAGTGGAGCCAGCTAGGGACATGATTTAATGATTTAGGAAGGAGCATGGTTTGAGGAGAAGCCAAAGGCTGGCTAGACAGGCCTGGGTCTGGCTCCTGCCAAAGAACAATGACAGATGTACTGTCTTGTCAGCAAGGAAGCCAAATTTTAGTCTAGCAAAGTGACAGCATATAATCAGCAACGGGAGAAGAGCAGAAATTAGTCCAGTCACCCGAGGAACCCATAATGAAGGCAAAATCAAACCAACTCCAGAGAGGGGCTTCAGGGTTCCTGAAATGTTTATCGGGGAGAAGGCCTGGGCTCAGGATTCTGGGATCAGGAGCAGCAATCTAAAACTGCACATGATCATGAAATTGTTCTAACAGTTGGCCCTGCCTACCCACCCACCTGCCCGCCTGCCTGCCTGTGTTTAAATGCTGGGCTCCATTTTCACTTCGATGATAATTCTTTTGAAGACATTACTTGAGAGCCCTTTTCAGGCCAAAGACCAAGACACCAGAATGGTTGTTTTGGGACCCATTAGGAATCCTGTGTTAAACTTTTGGATGCTAATGCGTTATGTCCTCAAGATTTTCTGGAGAAACCTTCAAAGTTGTCTGATTCTGTAACTTTGAGGTTGCCTTTCCATTGACAGGCCTTTTGAAACAATGACTGGTACAACAGGTGAGAGGAAATGATGCAAGCTATACTTAGAATAAAAGTATTAATTTTTATACTTTTTAAGAAGTATGGTATTTTACTCTGCCAGGCTTATGCAGAAATTGAGAAAGAATTTTATGTGATAGTTTGCTGATGATCTTTCCTTTTTATTTTTTACATGGTTTCTATTATAAATATGTATAGTTGCAAAATGCTTTGCACTTTTTAAAAAAATTGTGACCTCAGGATGGGATAAAAACTAGATCCATGCCTTTAAAAATGAAGCATTGTGGATAATTTTCTCATCTTTAGTTGAAAGTGATGGTAGATGGTAGACTCAGGGAGTTAAACACTGTGAGTAGAAGCCTGGTGATGCCCTTGTGCTCACAGAAGGGTTTTTGATGGAGCAGAATCTTCCATTAAGTGGGGCAGGGCATGGGCCCTACCTGAAAAAAATTGCTCCAGAAAATTCAGGGACCCTCTCTAGGCCACTGTGGATGCAGGAGCAGGGCAAGGGGGAATAGATGAATCTTATGGTTCAGGGACGTCCAACTCCCAAGAGACTGCAATCTGCTCCCAGAATTAAAAAAACTGGCAGTGATCTTCCCATGGGGGGAGGACCCAAAGTTGTTGAGCTTTTTTAGGGGGCCAGGGCAAAGCTGTTGAGCTAATTTTAGGGGGGTGGCACCAGAGTTCTTGAGCTTCTTTGGGGGGGCATAATTCACTCACCAAACAATAAACCGGGCAGCAATAGCACCGTCTTCCATTTTTGCAATCGTGTGCAAATGAAGGACAGAGCGAGGGGGCGGGGCAGATATCACCCGGGATCCACCTGTCAATCATGGTCAAGCGGTTGGACATCCCTGTTATAGCTCAATTCTTTTAGCAAAGGCATCCACTAAAACCATTTGCCTGAGGGCACCAAGTAGATTCTACTTCTTCTTCATTGGTAAATTAGCATAATGATAAATAAGGTGTTTGGGGTTTTTTGTTTTTTAAAGGTCTCAAACATTTTGCTAGCCATTTTCCAATGGGAAAATATTTGTTGAGTTCAACTGGGGGAGGGGGAGAGAATTGCACTGAAGAGAGAATTTTGAACTGATATCATAATACAGTAATGGAAGAAGGGGAAGGGATAAGATAAAATTGGCCTGCTAAACTCACTATTATATCATTATTTTCACATACTAATAGATCGTCAGTGCAGCAAATTTAGTGTTGCATATCTAGCACGACGTTCCTGTCCATCATAGCTATGTGTGCACTGTAGCTTTAACATACAACAGACCTGCTAGGAGCCATGTTGCTTCTGATTTCTCTTTCCTTTCTTCCCCAGGGATGACGTGTCAAGCCCGAAGTTCTTATGTTACCAGTGAGATCCTGTGGGGTTACCGTTTTACACCTGTTCTCACGCTAGAGGACGGATTTTATGAAGTTGATTACAATAGCTTTCATGATACATATGAGACCAATACACCATCTTACAGTGCCAAAGAACTGGCAGAGATGGCCAGCCGTGCAGAATTACCCCTCACTTGGTCTGTGTCCAGCCAATTAGACCAGCGTGCCGAAATGGATACTGAAGAGGAGACCAAGAACCACGAAGAACAAACTGAAAGGAATGGTGATGTGGCCAACTTAGAGAACGAGTCCAAAGTTTAGAAAGTGGGGACAGAGAACCACTAATCTTCCTTTAAAGGGGGAAAGAGGGAGGACCGATTAAGGTGTGACAAGCCTCCCTGCCCGTAAGGCAAGCAAAGATTTGGGTTAAAGCTGCAATATCCCTGCAATGTTGCCATGTAATCTCTTATCCTTGTTCTATTTTTTCAGCTGGAGAGCTCAGTGTTCACACATGCAGGTGTGTGGTTTGGGGCTGGTTTCTAAGATAAAGGGCAGAAGTTTGTTAACCTGGGCCAAAAGCAAAACACAGTGACTGTAAGTCCATTCACGTCCTGAGCTTTAACTCCAGTTTTTATATACTGTATTCTAAGACAGTTTTGAATGAGATGCCTGCATTGCAGCTTTTAGACCCAAGGAGGTGAAGAGAAAGGTCTGAAATTCAATGAGATACTGTACATATGCCTTATGTATTTTCTTTCTCTTTCAGTTTAGTAATAAACCCAGCATGTACAAAAGTACTGTAGTAAAGAACCTCTAAATAATGTACATACGTGTGTAATTAATGTAGGTTTAGAGATATAATTTAGAAAATAATAGGATGCAAAAAACAAAACAAAAACCCAACCACCTATCATGAGGAAGGCAGTTCTCTTCTAACACCAGACGTTTATTAGAGTTTGGCACCCATTTATAACTGCCCCATGAATGCATGTCTATTTCCTCATTGTACCAGACTGGCAGCTGTTTAGAGTACCTCACTGTTTTCTTAAGCGATGATTTAGCTGACTCTAAAAAGCCATAGGTCTGGGGTGGGGGGATAAGGGCAGAAAAATTACAACACGATTCCTGATAAACTGTGAAACTGTTTACAAAACAATCGCTTTCTTTGTAATGTTATATGGTTAAAAAAAAAACCCACTTCTGGCTACTTGGGCAGGACAGCTAGAATTTAACTGTGGCAGATTCTTGTCCAAGGCAAGGATTCCTTTTGTATGACATTTGTCTACCAGAGATTTTGTGTCGGGCTATTAACCCTTTAAGTGCAATACCTTGGGAAACTTTGGTTTTCAAAACCATTCAGCTAAAAAAAACAAAAAACACCTGTGTAATTTGCTATATCTATAGCTATATAACCTATATAAGCCATGAAAAAGTTTTGAATGTTATACCATAGTTCAGCAGAGAACATTTCCAGCTGATGTTCTATCTGAAAAAAACAACTGGACTTCAGCTGGATTTCATTATCGTAATAGGTACTTCATATGTCTTGAATACTCCCTGCAAAGATCTGCCAGCATGTCAGCCTTGCACATGTGTCGTTTCTGTGATGTCAATGAGCACAATCTGTAGGTCTCATTCTGCCATCTTTACTTATAATGAGTAGTGCCTTAAGTGCTTTCCAGTGTTACATTCTCCCAGTGGTTGACAACTGCAAATGAGTAGATACAACAGCTATTCAGCATCCCTGACCCAACTGCCACCAGTTCATGCATTCAAAGCTGAATTATCTCCTGAAGAAATAGGTTTGGGATTGTTTGGGTCCTCATCACTTACTTACTCACTTACTTACTTACTTACTTATTTACTTACTTATTTGCTGCCCATCTGACTGGGTTGCGCCAGCCACTCTGGGCAGTTCCCAACAAAAAACGAGTAAAAACACCAGTGTAAGGCATAGCAAGCAGTATCATACAGTACTGTGTTCATCCTCATGGCTCAGATCAGCATTTTAGCTATGACAAAAACAAAACAACAAAACAGAAGAGGTCTTTATTCTGTTCCCATAGTATTTTCTTGAAGAATAAAAATGTGCAAAGATTTTCCACCAAAAAGCTTTCAGGCTATCATGTAGGGAATAGACCTAATAAAATGTTTAGCTACTTATCCATGGATTCATGGCTAAGAGAGCAATCCGCTGTGGCAAGCCATTAATATCCTACTAGATAAGAACATTGTGACATAAACATAGATATAGACAGTGATTTAATCATTGGGCAGCCCCACCCCCAAAGTTCTTTATTATTGTTTGGTCATTAAGAAAACTTACCAAGTACTATATTGGCACCCAAATCCCAATTAAATATGGATAGCCATAGCATCACACACCAACATTATCAGAACGGCATGTTCAGGAAACTACTTCAAACGCTTACATGGCAAGTGTGTTACATCAAATCCATGTGTATGTCAGGTGGAATTAGCCTTTTACATTTATTATGCATTCATGCATTAATACTAATCCTATTCTAACCATTTATGCCTTGCCCTCACCATAAGTAGACCTTGAGCACTGCAGGGTTGCTGAGCATTTTTGCATGACAACTTAACGGCCAGGTCCACACATCACAGTAAACCATAGTCTGAACCAAACAACGACTTGCCATGAGTAAATAGTGTAATAATCACACCTCTCTGTTCCTCACTTTGCTAAGCCAGGATGAGGCCAACCCTAGAGCTGGCTTAGTACCGCATGAGAACCATCACTAGTGGTTTGCTTCTCTTCAAACCAATCAAGAAGGCAAAATTTGTTCTTGGCAGTTCTTGGCTCACTACTTGTGATTTGTTTGGAGAGAAACAATGGACCACTCCTGCTTCAAGTATAATGCTAAACTAGACATATAGTTTGTTCCCCTCCCAGCTCGGTGGGGTGGGCACAGGATAGCAGCAATGTACACACGCTGCTCATTCACTGTAAGCCATGGTTTGTTTCAGACCATGGTGTACCATGATCTATGAATCTATGAATGGGGCTAAAGCAGCATTTGCTAATGGTCATGTCTGCTGGTGGCATAATGGTACATTGACATAACTTGCTGCATGGTACACATTTAGTTGCTAAGGCAGTGAGACTAGGATAGATTTTTGTCGAGGATAGATTACAGCTCCCAAAGGAACCCACATTGTGTAATTTGTGCATGTGGAAATCTCTCTGTAGAAATAAAGTAGTGCAATTCAAATCAAAACCATTTATCCTGAACTGACTCTGTTGAATTTGGTAGCATCCAGAGTATATTACTGCTCAGTCAGAGTAAGGTTGGCAGAAGGTTGGCAGTGTAAATAGAGGACAATGGTTGTAACTCCGTAGTACAAATGCCCTTTCAAACAAAACAAACAAACGACAGCCTTAATTTTGTGTTTATGCCTGCCTAATCTGAAAATTAAAAGTACATTGAGAAGAAGTTCAATTATTTTTTGTATGAAAATATATATAATCATGTTTTAAAATACATGACTCAGGAGAAATCTAGTAGGCAGGTAGAAATTTTGCACTGTGATAGATTTTTCACATTTAGTTTGCATCAATGTGCTGATTTTCTCTTAATGCCATTCCAGTTATTTAAGTTTTATGGAGTTATGACAAATATGTCATTTACACTTCCCAGGAGCTGTGTTCACTTCTAGCCGAAGATGTTGTGCCACTGAGCTGGACTGATAAAACCAGCTGCACTTATGCTTATTAGAATTGGAAAAATATTTCCTGGTCACTTGCACAAAAGAAGTGACCTCCATATGGTTTTCACTGCCCTGGCCATTCCCCAAAAGGTGGGGGTGGGTGGGTGGGTGTGTCAGGTTGACAAGTTCCACCAGGAAGATATAGAATTCTTACTTCCTTTCATTTCCACTTTTGGAAGCTAGTTTCATTGTAGATAATGTTAATATGTAGTCATAATCCTTTGTATGCCGTCACCATGTTGGAATGTGCCAGTTATTTATGTTTATATAGCTCACCCAGATCCCAACACAACTCTAGTAGCACTTTGCTATGTGCAACCTGGAGCCCCAGGTGCAGGCATATATCCCAGGTGATGCATCCATGTTGGGTTCAATGGAATAGATGAACATCCCAATCACAGCCACACACCTTGTGGGTCTCCCTGTCTGGATGAAGCACCTGTCTTTAAGGCTGAGTTTGCATGACAGAAGAAGTTACTGGCTAAGTTCACATAAACCATCCACCTTGGTAGCTCACCCAGTAGAGCATGAGACTCTTAATCTCAAGGTTGTGGGTTCAAGCCCCATGTTGGGCCAAAGATTCCTGCATTGCAGGGGGTTGGACTAGATGACGCTTCCAACTCTACCATTCTAGAATTCTATGAAACCACCCTGTGGACTTTTGATGAAGAATGGTATAGAAATTTAATTATTAGATTAATAATAATAATAATAATAATAATAATAATAATAGGATTGTTCTAGCCACCACCATGCCCCCAAACTATGGGGAGAGAGCCCAGAGCAGGGGTCACAAACTTTTTCAGCCATGGGCCAGTCCACTGTCCCTCAGACTGGGAGTGGGGGGCGGACTATATTGGGGGGGGGATGAACAAATTCCTATGCCCCACAAATATCCCAGAGACACATTTTAAATAAAAGGACACATTCTATTCATGTAAAAGCACGCTGATTCCGGGACTGTCCGCAGACCGGATTTAGAAGGTGATTGGGCCGGATCCAGCCCCCGGACCTTAATTTGCCTTCCCATGGACCAGAGTGTAGAAAAAGAGGACATTTTTGTTTGTCTTATTTTTTGACAAGGGTGGCTTGGTTTAGCCCTCTCCTTCCAGTCACAACTCTGAGGACTAAGAGTGACATTTACATCAGAGTTGGCCTTATAACAGAGAATCTACAGGAGAAAGAACTATGGAAAGCTCCAACAAGGTTCTACTAAAGATCCAACTTACTCTACTAATGAGAATGCATGCGAAAGAATTAAAAAAAAAAACAACCAAAAAAGTGAGCTTATTTGGGAAAAGAAGCTTTTTGCTGTTGTGATTTTGGGGTCCTTTCTGTAATCAATTGTGGCAGGTTTAGTAAGGTTTGTTTTGTTTGAAAAAAGATTAAAAGCGTGCCATATGAAAATTCGGTCTGAAGGTCCTCTTAGAGCTTTCTTTGCAACCCTTAGCACATAAAGTGAAGCTGCATCATTCTGACACATGCATGTGTGAGCTGTAATGTTGTGAGTAGGGCACAAAGCTTAAAAGTCTCTCAAATTGTCTCTGTTATTATCAATGACGCATCCAATGTAAAGTTTACGGAATCTCGTTTTTGTAATATAAGCTTAAAACTCAAAGCTTCCGATGCTTTCAAGGGGGAGGCATCACCAAAATTTTGTACTAAGAATGTCCCACACACTTCTATTTTTCTACAATGACTGATTAAGAAGTTTAACAATGTATTTTGTGTCAATTATTTCCACTGAAATGTTGAAAAGCAGAGAAGAATGGAATGCTGTTAATTAACAATGGATTTTCAAAGCCAATCAACAATGAGTAGTGTTTTTCATTCTTTCAGTACATACATACTTTTGGCCCCACATCTTCCCTCACACAAGGGGCTCACAACATAAATGAAAAGCAATATACAATTCCCCCCCCCAAAAAAAAACCAAGCTAAAAACCAGAAACCAGATATTAAAATCACATAAATGGAGGGGGAGAGAATTAATCCATACCAAAGTGTGGGAGAACAAAAAGTGTTTGGCAGTCTTTGGTTATTAAATAACGGGGTGGATTTT